AATGTCAGAAAATTAAGCAGTTTTGGGAATTAAACAGATTGTAAGACAAAACACTAATTAAAGGATTGTTTATAGATTTGGGCAGAGGTTGCTTTTGTTGTGTTTTTGGGCTTTTTTTTTTTGTTAAACTTTTCATCTTGCAGGGATCTGGAGAAGACACTGAAGGACTCTGTGGCATCATTGAAGCCATTGCAGAAGTGATCAAACTAACTGATCCTTCACTACTCTATCTGGAAGTTTCAACTTTAGTCAGTAAATACCCCGATATCAGGTAATTCTCTTCTCAAAGTTAAATACATATATGTGCAGTGTTGTGTGTGTGCCGTATGTCCTCTCTCTACCTCACAGATATTGTTTTAAAATTAGCCTGAAACTGCAAAGTAGCTATATGTAAATATTTTCATATTATTCATATTTTAGAATGTAACCATTTTCTTATGATAAGTGATACTAATGGAGACTGTATATGTTCTGAAATAGGAAGTGCATGTACTTAAGTACTCTGTGGCACAGCAAAGGAATAATGAACATACTCTGTGTTCTGGGAGTATAAAATATATCTTGAGTCCTAAGAGCAGTCACAATGGTGCTTTATATTGAGCTGGAAAAGCTAGTACTGAGTGACCAGAGATCTGATTAAGTACTTGAGGTATTAGAAGTACATAATGAAACTGAGTTGAAGGATTGTGAACTAAAAGCAATATTTCTGACAAAATATTACTTCTATGAAGTTTCTTACTAATGGCAGTTTTATCATTTTCCTTTGGCAGGGATGACCATATTGCAGCTTTGCTCACAGTGAGAGGAGATGCCAGCAGAGATATGAAGCAGACTATCATTGAGACCTTGGACCAAGGTCCAAGCCAACCAAATCCGAACTACATGCCAATTTTTAAAGAAATTACAGTTCCCACTCTAACTGTGCCAAAACTTCTTAAGTAATTGACAATGCTGTGTTTTTGTGTCATTACTGGTCTGGGATCAACAGGTTTGAAATATTTGATGGCAAAATTGGCAATGCTTTTTCAAGTAAAGTTCAATACTGATACTTGCTAGGTATGTTTCTAAGGACTTTTTCATGTGGGGAGACATAGTCACATTTCTGAAAGAAAATAGTGTTAACGATCAGTCAAATTACAGTTTGAAGAATGAAGATTCTGATGGCCAGAATGCTTTTTACTGACCCATCTTACAGCCATATTTGCCATTAGCAAATATATTTTTCTCATGGAATGTTTCTGCACTGTACAGTACAGTGCTGTATGAAGATATTTATACTGAAAACAGCAGAGCTGAATTAGTGCTTAATGCAGACTAAATAGACCTGGATATGCTAATATACATTGCTTACAATACCTGAGCTGACTCTATTAAGGACTATCTTTATATGACACTGCACTGGGCATATATTAACATCTTCAATTCACTTTCACATTGTACTTTGTGTATGTATTTACTCTGATGTAAAATAGTTTATTTCAGAAAACGTAATTATAAAATCAGTTTCCTGACTAAGGGGTTGAACAAAATTGCTAGCATGCAATTTGATTATAGGGTGAATAAACAAATAATTAAAAAATACTTGAGGTACAAAAATAATTTTTCATTGATTCACTAAAAATGGCACATAAAGCATCACCAATTCAATAAAATGTTAAAACTATTGCTACCTACAGCAGTGTATTCTTTAAATCCTAATAGAATTACAACAGATCTCAATCATCTTCTCCCCCCCCCGGTTGTTTAAAGCACAGAGCAGCTTTGTGCTCTATGTGTGAATAGTGCTTGGATTTCATGTTTTTCTCAAAACTCAAGATACATTCTTATATCCCACAGTAATTTCAGATTAATGCTTAAAGTTAATTTCCAGTGTTATCGGTCTAATTATAGCATATGACTGGAAAACTGCTGAATTTAAATGTTTTCAAGGAAGGACATAACGAAGGCATTGCCTTTGAATACCTGAACACAGTTGTCAGACAAATACAAGGAAGGCGCAAGCCTACTTTGCACTAACTGATGGTCTGGAGTTCACATTAACTTGTGCTTAGCCTGTAAACACACAGACCTTGTGCTATTTGACCCCTCTCACTGTCTCCTTCTTACCCCAAAAGAGATGCGAGGTCATCAGTTTGGATAGAGGGTAGAACAAAGATTGTTAGGTTTTTTTGCTTGTTGTTTGTTTTCTTCCATTGACTGTATGAATGTGTCCCAGAGGACCAGGATGGTTCAGTAGCCTGTCAGGTCTGGGTGCTGTGAATCCTAATACTGTACCTAGGAATTGCAGGTACTGGGAGGGGAATGGATTTTTGGATGGCCAGTCTGTGGCCTAGTGAGTTAATTAACTACTGAGGTAATATTGACTAATTTTGTTTGCATTTCAGTGTCAATCCCATGACTGTTGGGATGTACCTGAAATTCTTGTCCTGTGTGACTTTGATCTTCAGTATATCCAAGGGAATCAATTAACCTGTTCTTTTTTCCTCCATAAACTGTATGCTGCTTCTGCAGAAGTAACCCTGTACATCTTGAATGTTAGAATTGCACTATTTTTTCCCAAAGACAAACCAGTTTGCTTGGGTAGAGACCCCTTAGTTTCTTCTTGTCTAGAATAGAAAGATCAAAGGGACTGCTAATGCTCTCAGACACTTGGTCTCATGATGCATATTGTGTAAAGGAATGCTATTAAATTGTGAACGTAGACCCCCTGCATGCTGCCAGTGCCTGCTCAATGAAAGCTGAAGCAACGGGTGCCTTCTCTGTGCAACAGTTCCAACATGCTCTGCAGAGTACTGCTACCCTGACCTCCATTCATATCTTCATTAAGCGTTACGCTCTTGATAAAGGTTTCTGAAGGAGCAATGCTGCATTTGGCAAGGCTGCCCATCAGTATCTGCTTAATTAGTGTCTCTGAGGTCCCTCTGTCATAGGCTCTCAGCAGAGTACTCCATGGAATCACCTGTAATGTGAAAGTCCATTGAGACAGTCATTCAAAGGACAGAGTTCATTAACTTGTTCCATCTTACAGATCTGTTGTTCTCACCGATTTCTTACACACTTGAAACCATTCCAAAACAGGAATGCTGACATGTTTAATTAACATACAGCACCTTCAAAAAGCCAGACTCCTGGGGAACCTTGGAGCATGGCTCACTTCAGTCTCCCGCTCCTGGGGCATCCGCCGTTCAGGGGAGAGGCTGCAGGCAGCGGCTGTGCAGGGAGCAGGGCAGGAGGCGGGCAGGCGCTCCCCGCACAGAGATGGTTCTCCCGGGGAAGAGCAGGGAGCTTTTGTGCAGGCCTGGTCCAAACCCGTCAGAATTACTGAGAGTGACCCGTGTTCGGGACCATCTTCCGTATTTTCACCCCAAATAGCAGTGTCCCCGCCCCCAGGCGCTGTCACATGAGGGAACCACCCGCGAAGCGGGAGC